GAGTTGTTTGAGTTCCTTGTATATTCTGGATATTAGTCCCCTGTCAGATGAATAGTTTGTAAATATATTCTTCCCTTCAACAGGTTGCATCTTCACTCTGTTGATTATTTCTTTTGTTGTGCAGAAGTTTTGTACTTTAATTAAGTGCTACTTGTCTATTTTTTGCTGTTGTTGTCTGTTCTTTTGATGTCTTTGTCATAATCTCTTTGCATAGACCAAAGTCCAGGAGAGTTTTCCCTATGTTTTATGCTAGCCTTCTTATAGTTTCAGGTCTTATGTTTAAGTCTTTAATCCATTTTGAGTCGATTTTTATATATGGCAAGATAGAGATAGGGATCTGGTTTCATTATTCCACATGTGGCTATCCAATTTTCCCAGCATCACTTGATGAAGAGGATGTCCTTCCCCTAGTATAAGTTGTCCATTTGATCAAAGATCAGTTGCTTGAAAATATGTGGCTTTATTTCTGAATTCTCTATTCTGTTCCATTGGTCTATGTGTCTTTTTTTATATCAGTACCATGCTGCTTTGTTTATTATAGCCTTGTAATATATTTTGAAGGCAGGTAATGGCCTTCAGCTTTGTTTTTTTGCTCAGGATTGCTTTGGCTATTTGGACTCTTTATTGGTTTTATATGAATTTTAGGATTGTTTTTTTCTAATTCTGTGAAGAATGACATTGATATTTTTCAATAGGAATTGCATTGAATATGTAGATTGCTTTGGGCAATATGGTCATTCCAATGCTATTAATTCTTCTGACCTTATGAGCATGGGATGTTTTTCCATTTGTATCACCTTCCATTTCTTTCATCAGCTTTGTAGTTTTCCTTGTAGAGATCTTTCACCTCCATTAAATTTATTCCTAGGTATTTTTTGTAGCTACTGTAAATGGGATTGCCTTCTTGATTTCTTTCTTAGCTACATATAGATGTATAGAAATGCTACTGATTTTTTGTACGCTGCAAAGATCATTGCAACTTTACTGAATTCTTTTATGAAATCTAAGAGTTTTTTTGGTGAAGTCTTTAGATTTTTCTAGGTATAAGATCATATTATCAGCATAGAGGGACAATATGACTTCTTGTTTTCCAACTTGGATCTGTTTTATTTTTTTCTCTTGCCTGATTTCTCTTGGTTAGGACTTCTGCTATCATGTTGAATAAGAGTGGTACAAGTGGGCCTCCTTGTCTTGTTCCAGTTCTTAGGGGAAAGAATTTCAACTTTTCCCCATTAGTACATTAATACAATGTTAGCTGTGAGTTTGTCATATATGGTGTTTATTATGTTGAGGTAAATTTCTTTTATGCCTAGTTTATTGACAGTTTTTATCATGAAGGGATGTTGGATTTTATCAAATGATTTCTCTGCATCAATTGTGATGGCCATATGGTTTTTATCCTTCATTCTATTGATGTACTGTATCACATGTATTGATTTGCATATGTTAAACCATCTTTTCATCCCTAGTATAAATCTCACTTGATCATGATGTATTATATTTTTATGTGCTGTTGGATTAGGTTTGCTAGTATTTTGTTAAGTTCATCAGGGATATTGTTCTATAATTTTCTTTTTTGTGTGTGTCTTTGTCTGATTTTGGTATCAGGGTGATACTGGCGGTATAGAATGAGGTGGGAAAATTCCCTCCTCTTTGATTTTTTTGAATAGTTTCAGGAGGATTGGTATTAGTTCTTCTTTGTACATTTGGTAGAATCTAGCTGTGAATCAATTTGGCCCTGGGATTTTCTTATGAATCTGGGCGCTCCAGTATTGGGTGCATATATATTTAGAGTTGCTATCTCCTCTTGCTGGATTGTTCCCTTTATCATTATATAAAGACCTTCTTTGTCTTTTTTTTTTTTTTTTACTGTTTTTGGCTTAAAGTCAAAGCATTAGCTTAAAGATAAAACATTATCTGATTTAAGTATAATTACCCCTGCTTGCTTTTGGTTTCCATTTGCATGGAATATCTTTTTCCATCCTGTTATTTTTAGTCTACATCTGTCTTTACTAGTAAGGTGAGTTTCTTGTCTGTAGCAGTTAGTTGGATCAAGTTATTTTAATCCATCCAGCAACTCTATATATTTTAAGTGAATAATTTAATATCTTCATATTCAAGGTTATTATTGATATGTGAGGCTTTGTTCCTTATAGTATTGTTAATTGTTTTCTGATTGTTTTATATAGTCTTAGTTCCTTTCTTTTTATATTATTGCTTGTCCTTGTGGTCTGGTGGATTTCTATAGTAGTATCACTTGAGTTCTTTCTCTTCCTCCTTTGTATGATTGCTTTACTAGTGAATTTTATGCTTTCATTTATTTTCATGATGGTAAATGTAGTCCTTTTATTTTCAGGTTTAGGACTTTCTTGAACATTTCAGGTAGGGTCTTTCTTGTGATAACAAATTCCCTCAGCATTTGCTTGTCTGGGAAAGACTTTATTTCTCCTTCATTTATGAAGGATAATTTTTGCTGGATACAGTATTCTCAATTGGAGGTTTTTAGCACTTTGAATATATCATCACATTTTCTTCTGGCCTGTAAGGTTTCTGCTGAGAAATCTGCTGTTAGTCTGATGGGATTTCCTTTACAAGTGACTAGAAGATTTTCTCTTTATGTTGTTAGGACTCTATCTTTGACTTTAGACAGTCTGATTATACATTCTGATTATAATGTGCAATGGAGAAACACTTTCTGTATTGGATATACCTGGGAATTATGGATTATCGTAAATCTTGCAAGACTTAGGAAGTTTTCACCTACTATTCCATTAAATAGATTTTCTAATCCCTTGATTTTCTTTTCATGCTCAAGGACACTGATAATTTATATGCTTGGTTGCTTTCTGTGTCCCAAATATCATGAAGGCTTTGCTCATTCTTTTTTCTTTATTTCTGTCTAACTGGGTTATTTCCAAGTAACCAAATCTCAAGTTCTGAGATTCTTTTTTTTTTTTTTTTTTTTTTTTTGCCTGATCTAGTCAGTTGTTGAAGCTTTCAAATGTATTTGTATTGCCTTCAGTGAATTCTTCAGTTCCAGAATTTCAAATTTGTCCTTTTTTAAAAACTATTCATCTCTTTGGTAAATATCTTATTTGTGCCCTGAATTGTTTCTCTGATTTCTTTGTATTGTTTTCAGAATTCTCTTGTATTTCACTGAGCTTTTCTAAAATCGGTATTTTGAATTTTTATATGGAATTTCAAAGATTCCTTTTTGATGTAGACCTATTGCTGGAGAATTATTATGTTCCTTTGGAGGTATCATATTTCCTTGCTTTTTCATGTTTCCTATGTCCTTATGTTGATGTCTGCATATACAGTATAACATTTGCTTCTTTCTATTGTTGAATTTACTTTCGTAGGGGAGGACATTTTCCTGAAGGTGTATCAGTTGGTTGGGTAGGGCACTTTGGGTTCGATTTTGGGTGTGTGCAGTAGTGTCTCTGTCTCTGTAAGATTTCTTTGGCTATAAATAACATTAGTGCTTTCTGTGATTTCCTCAGAGTGTTATGGTGCAGTTATTAGTGAAGGCTGCATTAAAGTTGTGCTGGGGACTAGGAAAATGGAAAGCCAGGTAGGCCACTCTTCAGGCCACAGTGGTGGCAGTGGTAGGTTGAGCATGCCTGTCTTTGTGCTCTAGGGCAGTGCATACTGGCAACTGTGTTGGTGGTTATCAGTGGTCCAATTCTTGGGTCTCTAGGTGGTTTGCTTGGGTGCAGGTAGTGACAGTGGTGGGCTGGGTGAGTGAACAAGTTCTTGGGGCCCTGGGATGCTGGTGTGGTGTGGGCAATGGTGGCAGCAGTGGTGGGATGATCCTCTGGGTCCCAAGTGGTACAGGCTGCTGTTGGCAGCAGTCACAGTGCAAGGTTGCCCTTAACAGCCCAAACACGCTGCTCTCAGGCCCCCCTGGTGTCTGCAGCAGCAGTGCCACAGTGCCACACGGAGAAGGGGAGAGACCCCACCGTCACTCACAAAGCCTGGCCATGGAGGCAATGCTGCCAGTGGGGTTGTAGTTACCACTCACCACCCCAGACATGCTGTCCTCTGGCTCACTCTCCCCACCCTCCAGCGGTAGCAAGAGTGGATGTGCAGAGGAAGAGGTAGGCTGGCTCCATGAGAGAGCTGAGCACAGAGACCACTGTGCTGGTGGGAGGGCCTAAATATTTTGAATCCAGGGATGCGGAACCCATGAACATGGAGGGCCAGCTATATAGGAGATCTAAAACACATCAAGCACTTGGGATTTTTTCAGCCTTTTCCCTGCCTCTTCAAGCCAGAATCTTAGCCAAGGACTTTGCTAGAAATTCTCTGAACATCTCTAATAATTGTGCCAAGTGGTTATGTGGAAAGAAAGCATGTTCCCAAGAAGCCTACCCCAAAAGCCATATACACTACCACCCGAATAGCGACCTAGCAAATCTCAAGGCAGAGAAAGGGGTAGCAAGTGACATGTTGTGAAGGCAGAAGTAGGAATTCATCTCTACTTATTTTTCTTTTACAGAGAAGGAAACTGAGGTTTGTATAAACAAAGAAATAAAGTGACTTGATTGAGACCATGCAAATAAATTAGCAGTACCTCCCAGCATATATATATATTTATATATATAACTCTTTTCCTGCTTTTCAGATCCATAATACACTATGACAGTACACTAACAACATACTATGAGATTTTGTTGATCCATGTGAATGAATTCCTTGATTCTCCCTACTCAACACACGAAAAATAGTAGAAATAAGTGTTAGAAATTACTGTGTTAGGTGAAACTTGTAATGTGTATAATGTGTATAAAGTTTTATAATGATCACCCTCTTCTATTTTTATATTTTTATTCACAATTATCCTGCTCAATAATACTCGGTTCTTTTTAATAAGGCTATATTCTTATAAAAGTCTAGAATGTGAAATTTTCTATAAAATGTCCATTGTTAAATCACCAGGTCATGTAAAATATGGTGGGTTTGTGTATGTGTTTTTTTCTTTTTTCTTTTTTGTCTAGATACGCAACTCACAAATGAAAAACGTGCGGATGAGAAACCCATTAATGCTATCGTTATAAATTCAGTATCTGAATTCAATATCACAGATGGACCAGCCAAGGAAAGCCCCAATGAGAAAAAACTGTCAGAATCCAGCACATCATTGTCCTCCCTTGAAGAATGCCAAACGAAATTTTCCTACCTCCAAACTGATACTTCAGTTCATCAGAGAGACACTGACGGTATGTTTCTCAGAATTCAACCCATCTCTAAATAAAGCTCCCCAACCCCCAGCCCCTGTAAAATCATCACATATGCTGTTAGGGAAAAAAACAAGTCTTTATGAATATTAAACAGGAAGACTTCAGTTTGAAAACCCTGGTGAATGACACATGTCAAGGTCACTTTGCAGTTACGAGGTGCTTGGCAGATTGTTTGCTCTCAAAGCTTGGAATCGGAGGCAATGTGTTTTAAATAGCTGGGGTAGGGCATCGTCATTCTTGCTATGGGGTTAAGGCGTGGAATAAAGAAAAATGGCAAACTCCTTCGTCTTCTCAGATATGGGACTATTCAACCCGTAGCTCTGGGCAGAGAGAAAGTGAAGAAGGCAGAGTGGAATGGTATTAAAATGCTGGAAATATATAAATATAGATAATAGAAAATATTAAGATGCTTACATCAGCGATCTATGAAAAAGGGTTCGTTCCCTCTAGGTAATATCACTTCTCAAGTGTTCCAATTAGTGTAAACCTAGACCAAACCATTCCTGTATGTGACATAAATGGCATGTTTGTAAAATCAATTTCAAATAGATCTGGTGCTAAATGATCAGCAGCACAATCAAGTTCAAAAATCACGGACTTCACACAAAGACATGGAATTTTATTCAGGTTAACTTTGCAGTGACTTTTACAGGAGATATAAACCATTTAAGAATTCCATAGTGTTCAGTATCTACATTTGCATTTAAAGAAAGCCTGAAATTTCTCAAAGGAAAATGTAACAGGGTATTGTTTCTGGCCCACATTTAAATTTATATTTACTTTTTGAAAATAAGAAAAAAAAAATTAAATTGTATCACAACACTTTTGGAATCATATCAGTTTAACTCCCGCCTCTGACGTTTATTAACTGTATAATAGACAAGTTTTTTTTTTGTTTTTTTGGTTTTTTTTACCATTTCTGAATCTCAGTCTCTCAGATATAGCAGGGCTAGTAACAAACACATCACGAGGTATTTTGAAGATCAAATAAAATAACGTACAAAAGCCCCTCGTACAAAAGCTGACACACGGTAAGTATTCAATTTCAGCTTTGATTATGTTACCGTTTTAGAAGGCAAAAAGAGAGAAGATTTCTGACACTTGCTATATGTGTGGTGTCTTCTGCACATGTTGTCATGGATGTGTCAGAGCAGAAACTAGAGACTCCATTGCCTGCGTTTGCCAAGAGAGAATGTGGCTAACGTAGTAAAATGCAAGTAGACAATAGGGATTGGTGAGGACTGTGGCAAGCTGAAGAGCTCATGTCCCATCTGTAGGGTCACTGTCTCTCCACTCAGCTCTAGCTGTTTGTTGCCAGAAGGTAATGAATGCAGGCCCAGAGTTGCAAGATCTTGAAGTTTTCCAAGAAAGCAAGAGACCAGGAGTGTTATGCCAAATTTCTAAGTTTTTTTAGCATTGATCACTAGTTCTATTTATTTTATGAAGCCCAAGACACTGCCAACAACACATCTTTGGGCCATCTTTGGCCTACGGACCATCAGGTTGTGACCTTGAGTCCACAGTGGCGCTCAAGGCTCGGTAGAGGTGAATGCCAGTCAAGAGAATAGGTAATGCGGGAACATGCTAGAACATCTTACCGAATTGTACCAGAGACGCATGGATGCTGTCCATCACGTGTATTCGGTTAATGATCCCAGGAGTAGGAATCGATTGCCATTGTACATATCCACACAGTGACCCTCCAAAACCACTGTCCTCTGTCCTATCAGTGATGCTGGGAGAACGAGGAGGGCCAAGCCAATTAGCACGACACTTGAACCTTTGTATTCTCAGTGACAGCCCAACATGACTGCTCGCTCCATTAAAATGGCACTGAAAGAGCCTCATGCAAAAAAAACCCAAAAAGCAGTTTTTTGTTAAACAACAGATAACTCTTTGTTCAAAGAGCAAAAGAGATTCATGGGGATGATCGAATTACAGTGTTTTTCTGAAGCACTTAGCTAAGGCCAATATGAACTGGGAAATCCGGGTCGTAAGCTCAAGGCACAGGTAATAATAGTCCACCCTTCTTCCCACTCTCTCAACCCCATGTGAAAAATCACCCCAGTGAGGTAAGAGCTTTTGGTACCTGGGTAAAAGAGAAAGTGAAAAACCCAGATTTTTTGAGAGATAAGAAACTCTCATTAGCCTCAACAGCAAATATCAAGGAAATCAAGAGTTAAATCGGACTCACTTCATTTTAGAGAATTTTTTGATAGTAATTAATTTAAGGATGCAGAAATTGAGAGTGGGGTCATTGTTCGTACTGAGATAAATACAGAAATATCTTTCAGGAACAGCAGGGAAAACAGAAGGGAAAAGAGAAGATTGCATCCACTTTCATGTAGTTTGTGGTTAATTTATTTTCAAACGTATAAATGAGTGCATAGGAATGGATGCTTAATTGCTAATATCTATTATTTATATACATTGCCCCACTTAAAACAGGATGGAAAAGCCTCGCACATGCAGATTTTGTAAAATGTGTTACATCCATTAGCGCAGTTCATGGTGTGTGCTCTGATGGGAATTTAAAAGGATGCTCAGTGCACATCACACACTATGGGCTGCGACATTACTTTATTATTAAATTGTGGTTCATCGTGTGTGGTCCCCTTCCTGAGTAAAATGGAAAAAGTCCAGAGAACTATTTGTGTCCTTGCTTCTGTTGCCACGATCTTCAGCTTGCAAAAGCATCCCTGTGCGTGAGAGAATCAGGAATGCACATGATATTAGAAAATAGGCCCCTTGAAAAATAATCCCGAGAACATAGCTAATGGACGTATAATTTTGAATTTGAGACATCTCATCCAGGTGGAAGAGGAAAATCATAAATAGAAGATACCTCAAAAAGAATAGTCTTAATTACACCATGGACTACTGAATAAAATGATTACATTTTCTACACTGTAAATTTCATACAATTAAATGCAGTAGTGTCACCTTATAAAATGTTTCAATTTGATAATTATTTCAGTTCATTTGCTCAGAAAAAAAAAAAACAGAAGCACAAATTTATTAACTATCACCCAAATCTAGTCATTCTGGTTCTAAAGAACTGACTTGACTGTTAGCTGTGCTTGTCTGAACTTAAATAGATCTTGACATATTTAAGTACCTATTAAAATTGATAGCATCAGAGATGATACCCCAGACAGAGAATGGCATTCAATCACACATTATTTATTCCCATTCTACATTACAGAAATAGTTTTTTTTTTTTTTAAAGAAATGCACGTGGGTGGAGAAGGAACCAAATTTTATACTTTGGGGCAAAAAAACTTGCAGTCATCAGCCAGAGCCATCGTGTCCTGAGTCTCATTGTGAAGTCGAGTTCTCAGTGATAGCCCCTGAACTCATTTCGAATACTGGGCTGGGGCCGGGTTCATTTTGTCTCTTTTTTTTTTTTTTTTTTTTTTTTTTTTTTTTTTTTTTGTTTTGGGAGAGGAGAAAGGATAAAAATTGTGTTTTATCTGGGGTCACTTCGGATAATGATCCCAAGGCAGCAGGAGGTGTATTTCTGGAACCTAGAAATGTGTTTTTATTGTCCCTCCCACCTCCTAATCGTGGGCACCAAGGTGGCCAGGCCAAAAGCTGGGGGTCAGAGTCAGGGAGTCGTCCAGGACCGTGACCGTGGGGCTGCCCTCAGGCAGGCTTGGGGAGCCATCCTGTGTTGCTTTCTTTCCACTGCAATTAAAACGATCCTTGCTAGTGGGGCAGATTCTCCCTCCTAATTAGCCAACCCCCAGTGGCACGTTTAGCTCCTCTGGAAGCTGCTGTTAATTCTTCAGCGTTGTTAAAGTATCAGCTCGGTGCAGCCTAGATGTCCTAGAGGTGCCCAAGGGGTATGAAAAGGAAACGAAACAACATTCAGAGGGTTTTTGCTTCTTGCTCACAGCCAAGCGCCACCATCAATGGGGTGGCCTGCAGGTCTGTGATGCATCTGCAACCTTCTTTAATGCAGGTGTCAGGAGTGGGAGAGCCATGTGGGCACTCTGACAGTGGTGACCAGAGCCCATGCCAGCCCATGCCAGCCCATGCCAGGGGGTCCCATTGGGAAGATTTAACACACGGGAAACTTGTTACAAAGGTGTGAGATATTAGAATAGCAAAGAAGGCAAATGCAGTGAACAGTGAGGCACCCAGAATTATCAACATCACGAAGCCCTCTCCAGACCAGGAGTCCATGCACGAGCTCGTACACACCAGCAGCTGGCCGTTGTTAGACAGACCACTGCTCACTGGCATTCGCCGGAGCCAGAGAGAGATGAGCTGTTGAGAGAGAGATCAAAGCAAGGAGAAGACACCACCACTCCCTCTAAGATCCAACCCCAAGCAGAGAGGGGGGAAGGAAGCACCCTAATCTTGCCCTTCCTCCCAGCCTCCTGGTTTCTCTGGATGCCTCCTAGGGGCTGAATCTAGCCAGAAACCTCTAAGGGAAAGACTTTGGCAGTGTCAGGAATACAGCAAAGAGCAGGGTTGGAGGAGGGAGTGGAGAAGAAAGCAGACCGTCAGTGGCCCCCATGCACGGTCCTCAAATGCGTCCAAAAGAAAGTGAGGCGTTGTGGACGGCAGGACACCTTGGTAGTGCAATGCTCTGGAGGAGTCAGTCTGGGCTCCAGCTTCAGCCCCCACGACTCCCTGCGTATCTGGGGCATGGCACAAGCTCCTCCTCTATAAACAGGGATAATAGCAGTACTCAGCTCGGGGTTATTTTGAGATGCACGTAAAATGCAGAGGGCCCCAGACAGACTCTAGGTGAAACAGTTTGTACGTACAACAGTGGGGTAGAAAGTAAAGGCTTTGGATCCAGAAAGACTCAGATTTGAATACAGCTAGTAGGACTTAGGACAGCTCTAGTGACAATCTCTCTCTCTGAACTTTAGTCCTTTCATCTAAAAACTGGGAATCTTAATATTTATTTCTTAGAATCACTCAGCATTGATTTATTCATTCTACAAGAGGGATGGCTTTCTTCCCCCCTTGCAACTTAGATTCTAGTAGGAAGGGATAACAAACCAACTGATGGGTTTCGTGCCAACCTGTGGTCAGTGCCATGAAGAAGAAATAAAGCAGGTTGCTGTGAGGATTTCAGCAAGGATGTGATTTAGAGGGAAGGTGTTTTACACTAAAGACCTCAAGGTTTGGGCCGGGTGCGGTGGCTCACGCCTGTCATCCTAGCACTCTGGGAGGCTGAGGCAGGCGGATTGCTCAAGGTCAGGAGTTCGAAACCAGCCTGAGCAAGAGCAAGACCCCGTCTCTACTATAAATAGAAAGAAATTAATTGGCCAACTAATATATATAGAAAAAATTAGCTGGGCATGGTGGCGCATGCCTGTAGTCCCAGCTACTCGGGAGGCTGAGGCAGGAGGATGGCTTGAGCCCAGGAGTTTGAGGTTGCTGTGAGCGAGGCTGACGCCACGGCACTCACTCTAGCCTGGGCAACAGAGAGAGACTCTGTCTCAAAAAAAAAAAAAAAAAATACCTAAAGGTTTGAATAAGAGTTGGATAAAGCTGGGGTAGGGGAGGGTGTGCAATGCAGGCAAAAGGCACAGCACGCGCAAAGGCCCTGAGGTAGGTGCCTTCCAAGTACTGGCATTTAGCCAGTGTGGCTGGCGTGTAGTGAGTGAGGAGTGAAGTAGGTCCAAGAACCAGAGCCCAGTCACGCAGGGACTTGTAGACTATGGCAATGATTCGGGACTTGAGGGGAGAGCAAGTTGTTTGACTTTAGGGTTAAAAATCTCTCGGGAGCTGGTGAATTTGAAGTGGGCTCCCGTGGAAGCAGAGTGTCCTAGACGGGAGGCCACTGCCACTGACCTGATGATGGCCGGATGGTGGCCAGAACGAAGACAGAAGTACGATGAGAAAAAGGATATGACAAGCAATGGCTCCCAGATTTCTGAATTCACCTGGGTGTTCAAGGACACTAATCATGGGTGTGACTTTGAATATCATGTTTATGAAACATTGTAGCAAAGGAAATGAATGAATGAAACAGTGTAGCAAAGGAAAATACACTCATTCAGGAGGAGGGGAAGTGCAAAGCTCTCTTCAAACCGTTGCAAATTTTCCCCTGAACTGCTTATGTTACCTTCGTGCAAACAAAAATTGACCATATGCAAAACAGAGTTGCCTGCTCACGTAGAATTATTTAATACGCCTTTTAGGAAAAGTGTGCAACACCCTTGAAAGTTTGGAAAAATCTGTTTTCAATTCATTAATGTTACCGTGTTGTTTTTGGGCAAGAGGCTCTGCCTTTTAAAACCAAATAAAAAGAACTGACTTAGAAAAAAAAAAAAAACGGGCTGTATTCTCAAGTGCAAAATAAGGAGGCAAAAGGAAACAAATGCCAATTTGGCCAAAGGATTAGGCCAAAACTTTATTATTTTTTTTTAAATAAAATCTACAGTATATACCAGAAGTGGAGACCTCCAGGGTTTGCCAACTTGGGGAGACATTGGCAAAAGTGATTGAGCTAGAAGGTTCTATGCATTCAGGAAATTATAAGGCCATTTTACAAACAAGTTCTTCACACTCTGATAGGTGAACACCATCCTCCCCTGCTCTCCTCCAAGCCAAGCTCCCAACCCTGCATGCATGAAGGACACGATCCAGTGGAGTCCTTTTTATGTGGCTATAAGCCTGAGTAAGTCTCTTGAGTCCCCTCGTGAGTGATCACGGTGTATTCATTTGGGATATTTTCTACTGAGAACGTCCTCTTTGCTGGGGGCCACCAAGGTAGCAGTCCTGGGCGTGGGTGAAACTTGATGGGATTATCCACGCCACATCTTTGGCCAACACCAAGCCCTCTTCAGAAATGCATCGTCACAAGAGAGTTTATGCACCATTACTCACTCACTCCTGAATTTTTTTGTGGGTGGTTTGCAGTGACTTGTGAGACATGGGTGAGTTGACCAAATGCTGGAAACTGGCTCTAAGTGAATTAAAAAAAAAAAAATGCACCAAGTTTGGCAAAGACATGCATGATACACCACAGAGGTATGATGGATTATGCCCCCCGAAACTATAAAGACTGAGTAAGGGCCATAGCACCTGCAGCAATATATGTAATTACGGTACTCGTAAAAGTCATGGTGTGGTTTTTACCACCAGCTTATTGGGAGGAAAGGAAGGGAGGGTGGGAGGAGGGACTCAAAGAGAAACAGAGGAAGGAAGGAAGATTTCTCTTTTCCTATATTCAGGACTCACTTTAGAACTTTATGTAGAGTTTTCACAAGAAACCGAACTGGTTTTCTTTAAAATATTTGCTCCTTTTTGGAGCATGTTTGCATGTTTTCCTTTCTCTTGAAGATCAGTCGGTGTTTAAACGATAAAAGAAGAAAACGTTTTTCTGGAAAATACTGTTGGAAGTAAATGAGAAGGACTCTAAGAGCACTTAGAGGCAGAGGGCAAAATCTCTTCTGTGGGTGTCCACCGTCCCCATTGACTCAAGTCTGAAAACCAAAGCATTATTAGCATTCTTACTGGGAAAAAAATAGATGCCTATGAAAGTCTAACTATAATCCATTGATAAGCCCATCTGGAGGGAAATTTTTCTCCAATTCATGCTAGAATGTTCCTTTCAATCAACAACAATCTTTAGATTACTGGTCTTAATTAATTGGATAATATATCACATGAACACTTACCCACACTTTTACAAAACACTCACACATGTTTGAGACTTTTTTAACTTAAAAAAAAAGAGAGAGAGAAAAGTTATAATTTTAACAAGAGAACTGCTACATCTTCTAACTAATTCCCTTTATGGAAACAAAAAAATAGAATAATCTATAACCCATCGCAGCTGTTTGGCTAGAATTACCAATTACCCTCCAAGCCTTACAGATACTTCCCAGATTTTTACAAGTCTGCGTAGTAAATTTTTAAACCAATTTTCTTAAAGAGGATTGATAAGATTTAAAACCTTTTAGGCATATGATGACGTATTGCGCTTAAACAACTTGATATAAAATGAAGGCTTTACATAACTGGAGGAAAACGGAAACAGGGATTAAAAATAAAACACAACCCAAAAGCTGTGATTATTTTAAAAAGCATTTTATATTAAGTTTTGAAATGTGCTTTTCGCTTGCATCTGAACGTGGGTGTGGCGGGTTGATGGCAATCCGTGGTGAACAAACAGCAAAGCCCGGTGACTTAGAGAAGCAGGGCATTCGTACTGTCTCTCCTTGTCCCCAACTCTAATTGCTCCTGCATCTGGGGAAGAACTGATGTTTTTCAAGGTTTCCAGAGAGCCAGCTGATTGTGTGGCTTCCCAGCACCTCTGCAGGCAAAGTAAATAAAGGAGTTTAGCCAAGTGACAGCACTTTAAATAACCAAATTATGTTGAATCAATAGGAAATGGTCAGGAAGTTAATAAAGCAATTGCTTAAGCAGAGTGAGTACTGGCACGGGGGGTGGGACAGCTGGAGGGAACGGTGGACAATCACCCCTAGTGCGGATAAATAATTAAGAGTGGGGTCCCAAGTTATCAAGCACGTGCCCAGCCTTCATAGAGATGGCCAAGATGTGCCACTGTTTAATTGTCTCTCTGCTTCTTGAAACAGAGGAGTGTGCCTCCCTCATCCTCACCTGTCTGTTTTGTCAGTTCTGGGACTGTCTTCTGATGCTCCCAGACACGTGCGAAACAGTGTGCGCCAACCTGTGCTGCCCTTCCCACCCCTACCACCACGCCCCGGACGAAAGCCACTCTCGCAATGACTGCGGCTGCAACTGCGACGTGGACTGCAGCCTTTTTGAGTCTTGCCACGAGACCGGCGAGTGTCTGGAGCTGGCCATGGAGATTTCAGAAATCTGTTACCGCTAGCAACCGTGCAATAACCACATCCCTCCCCCCGAGGGCCTCTTGGCCACGGTGGGGAAATCGCGTCACCATAAGACTGTGATTTCCAAGTGCTGAAATGCAAAGGACGGTACCCACGTTTCTTGGATGCTCTAGGCCATTTTATTCTGCACCTGTCTGGGAAAGCTAGTATTGTCAGCTCAGTGGTCTTGTTCCAAATCTCACAACCGCATGGCTCGCTGAAAAATACGATTTTTCGATCCCATCCATGGATGAACCAATCTTAAATACCTCTCAAATGCCATAGGTACAAGATGTTTCCTGACTACCAGATAGCATGCTAAACCACACAGTGTCATTGCACTCATCAGCTTGCATCGTGAATTCAGCCTCATTCACAAATTCAGGACAAATTAGTGCATTCTTTCAGCATTGACATGCATTAGCTCATCTTTCTAATGGACTCATACATAAACATTATGCATTGTTGGTTATTATTAATAATGTATTGTGTAACATCATTTTGTAATTAAAATTTTATTTATACAGTCTCTTAAAATTCACTTATATGTACAGTTTAGGTAGGAAGGGGAATTAAATGAATTAGAAACCATGTTCCTATAATTACAACAGATGTCTCTAAAATATCTCCTGTGAATTTTGAATGTGGTGTGTTTCAGGAGAGCACAGTAATTCTAAACCGTGTTATTACACGTCTATGACTATGTCATGACAGGTTATGCATATTCTTCATTTGTTACCAAAAGGCTCTTCTTTATTCTAATAAGCATAAATGGGAATTATGTGACCCTAGCTAATCAATTCTTCATTTTCCTCATTTCTATTTGTCAGCTCCAATAAGCAACAGGATATTAAAACAGCATCAGTTCATTTGACTAAACTATCATTTGTGTAGGAGCCCAAAAGAAATACACATGCAGGTACTTACTCAGAACCAAGTTTGCTAACACAGCATATGCTTTGTAAACCATATTTTTTCTTATTAACTAATTAACTAATTAGTTATTAATTAATTCTGATTAATAACTATGTTGAGTGCTTCTTTATACTTAGTTGTTTTGGCTTTTTTTTTTTTTTTTTTTTAAACAGAGTCTCACTCTGTTGCCCGGGCTAGAGTGAGTGCCGTGGCGTCAGCCTAGCTCACAGCAACCTCAAACTCCTGGGCTCAAGCAATCCTCCTGCCTCAGCCTCCCGAGTAGCTGGGACTACAGGCATGCGCCACCATGCCTGGATAATTTTTTCTATATATATATTTTAGTTGATCAACTAATTTTCTTTCTATTTTTAGTAGAGATGGGGGTCTTGCTCTTGCTCAGGCTGGTTTCGAACTCCTGACCTCGAGCAATCCGCTCACCTTGGCCTCCCAGATTGCTCGGATTACAGATGTGAGCCACCATGCCCGGCCTTTAGCTTTTTTTTTTTTTTTTAATAAAAAAAGATGCGACATAAACTGGAAAGAGATTTTTAACTTAAATAAGTTAAAACAAACAATTTGTGGGGAAAATAAATCTAGGTTGAAATTGCATTGGAATTTTCTTCAATACTTTCTGTAGGCATGTTTCTATAGTCGCGAAGCAAATACATTGCCCATTAATCCGTGTCTATATATTCCCATGGGTATATTTCAATATATTCATTGAATATAAAAAAGCACAATGCACCAAAACCAAAACAAACAACAGAAAAGTGAAATGGAGAATTCAGGAAATTTTTTGGGATCCAGGGAAACAAATAGCAACAACAAAAAACTCCAAATTACCTGTTTTCTTCCCTGACTTAGGTCATTTTAGGCAAAAAGCAACATTCATTTCATTTCTGTAGTAAACTAGCACACTTTTCTAATCTGAGATAAATCCCCCCGAACATTGAAAACTATTCATCTTAAAAATATATATATTTTTGGCCGGGCACGGTGGCTCACGCCTGTAATCCTAGCTCTTGGGAGGCCGAGGCGGGCAGATTGCTCAAGGTCAGGAGTTCAAAACCAGCCTAAGCAAGAGCGAAACCCCATCTCTACTATAAATAGAAAGAAATTAATTGGCCAACTGATATATATAGAAAAAAAAAAATTAGCCGGGCATGGTGGCGCATGCCTGTAGTCCCAGCTACTCGGGAGGCTGAGTCAGGAGGATTGCTCGAGCCCAGGAGTTGGAGGTTGCTGTGAGCGAGGCTGACGCCACGGCACTCACTCTAGCCTGGGCAACAAAGCGAGACTCTGTCTCAAAAAAAAAAAAAAAAAAACATATATATATTTTTAAGCTGCTTCTAGAAAAGTATTTAACTGCTCTTGACTTGCTCTTGACAGCAGGGCACGTCTATGGTCAAGGCCAGCTTCGCTCCTGCTTGGCCACCATGCTATTCACAAACCACAGAGCATGAGAGAGCTCCACACCCCCAGAAACACTTCCGTCTCACTGCTTTCCAGAAGCTCAAAGAGAAAGCTCTAGAATTTATGCACAGGACTTGTAGATCATAGAGGGAAAAAAAAATGTAGTTTCTTAGAACAGGAAGGGAACCGAGGGCTGTCTTTTTCCATCGTTCTCATATTTCATAAGAGAAAACATAAGAGGCCCCAAGAACTGACTTATCCAAGACCACACCGTGAGTTAACGGCAGCTGTGAGGAATTCTAACGCAGGGTGCAATTTTCTGACTACACTGCACTACTCCATAGCTCTTCACTTCCTATTCCAGCTGGTACACAGTGGTATATAGCTGGGCCAACTGTTAAAAATACTAAAATACTACCGGGCTGGCTCGTAAACAGTTGCTCCTTGGACCTCTTTAGTGCTTCCCTCACGTCCTGGCCACCCTGGCCCTCTCTCTGAGGGCCCTAATGATGGTCTAGCCACTAAAGGAGGAACACCTGGACCTGCAGGGGGCGCTCTGGAACCCTAGCCCATTAACATGGTACCTGGTGTCATTGGTCGGGTGGTGCCATATTGGTGTTAAATATTTTGACCATCCTTCCCTCATTCTTTTTAATCTACATGCCCTCAAATTATGTAAAGATGGTGCATTTCAAATGTGAATTGAATGCTTATCAATTAGAGACATAAAAATCGCCAGGTCTTGTTTTACAATGTGGTCAGAATATTAGAATATCTTTCTGTGGCCTCGCTTTTCCACGGTTTGTTAACTTTGCTCCTGACTCTCAGAATTCACTGTGCTATAACAGAAAGGGTCGGTTATACAAAGTGTGAAATTTCTTTTCTTTATAACCAATAATAAAACATCATCCTTTTTGCAAACGTGAATGGCTCTTTCAATTGAATTCTTACACAATAAAACACACGCAGCTGGGAAAATACAATGGCAGAGGTAAGGCAGATCAAAAAGGGATGTGGTTATTGATTAAATACAAATATCAGAATCTGAGAAGGCTCAGATATTTTCTGCAATGATGAAGGCCTGTGATTACAAATAAAGATAATGTTGTTTCTTAAGGTGGGACTTCTTAGAGTCCTGTGTGTTCTGATTTAAGGAAGCACACTAGAATAAAAGAGATTTGAGAACATACAACCTTTATAGAAAATGGAGAACAGATATTTTTTTTCCTACAGCAATATAACCATATAGCTACATCATCTTTGCTTTGCTCAATGGATTTTTATAAAACAATTGCTTCTCTAAAAGCCGACGAAATATGGAAAGCAATGAAGAAACGAAGTTACATTTAACTTGCTAATGAAATTTTCCCACTACCTAAGCTGATAGGCCTTACAAAATTAATTATCAACGCTGGACAATCAAAGTTAATAGAGCGAAAGTGGCTTCAGTTTTTTTTTTTTTTCCAAAGGAGTAAGAAAACATATTCAGGCAGGGAAACTTCACAAATGGGAAGCATCTCGGGGGGGCCTAGCAGCATTTTTTTCAAGGATAAATGTGTAGGTGGAAATATTTAATGGACAGAATTCAATACCCAATCCTTCTAAGTTTCTCCTTCTACAAAGCGGAGAAAAAGAACAATACGTACACCTAACTACAGTAGTTTGACTGTAAGAGTTTTATTCAGCAAATGCTAAGTTTCCCCCCAGCCACACACACTGATGGTCTCTGATAAAAGGCAAATATTCGGTTTAATGGTTTGTTGGGTGTTCTTTGTAGAAGAGATCTGAGTAAAACCCTCAACACTTGCCACGTATGTGTTTAGGTAGGCTATATAGACAAACAAAGACAACAGAGGCAGAGTTGAATGATTTTCTAGTGATGATAATCACCAAGGGATTAAAATTGTATTATTGGGCTTCTCAAACAGAGGTCTAGACAGTTTCTAACGTCACATGGAAGGATCCCAGAATGTGGGGAGTGGGTGAGGGATGGAAGTAGCATCATTATTTGGATAAAAGTACCACCTTCTGTTCGCCCATCTTGATACTCTTCACAGTTTTGCTTTTGTCACCACCTCGAAAGCAGTGATTCTCGACTGCCACCTCCCTCAATTTGGCAAAGTCTTTTTGGTTGTAACAGGGTCTCGCTCTGTCACCCAGCCCAGAGTGCGGTGGTGAGATGGTAGCTCACTGGAACCTTGAAGTCCTGGGCTCAAGCGATCCTCCCACCTAATGTTTTTTTTTTATTTTTTTTAATTATCTGTAGATACGGGGTCTCGCTACGTTGCCCAGGCTAGTCAACCTCCTGGCCTCAAGAGATCCTCACACCTTGGCCTCCCAACGTGGTGGGATTACAAGCACGAGCCACCATGCCTGGCCTCCAGTTTGGCAAAGTCTCGAGACATAATTGGTGTCACCACGGGAAAGGGAAGCAGTTGCTACTAGCTCTAGTGGGTGGGAGTCAGGAATGCTGGCGAACATCCTACAATGTTCAGGATGGCCCCCCACGAGGACTATCCACATGTCAACAGTATTTCTCTAAAGCCTTTCTCTCCATTAGCCATCACCAGATTTACCTAAAAAAAAAAAAAAAAAAAAAAAAAACTGTTGAAAACAGGGTTGCCAGACAAAACACAGGATGCCTACTTAAGTTTGAAATTTCAGAAAAACAACA